TTGGGTCCCACTCCGACCAATCAGGACATAAACCTGACAGAGTGCAAAAGACAGATTACACGACTGTGCGCAGTCAAATGCAGGCCGTGTTACGATGTAGTCGCTATAATAAAGCCCTTATTTCCTCCACACTGCCAACTCAGAGGTGCCTCTCCAAATAACCTTGACAGTATCTAACTTTCTAAAGTCTAAAGCGTCTCTCGCTGCCTCGGTAATGCTAATGCCTAAATTGGATTATTGCGGGCGATGGAGGAGCGGCTCTCTCGTCAGGTTCGCACAGACGCACAATAGAAAATTATTATCCAATTAATATACACTGGACAGCTTCACAAGCAGTTGCCAAGAAGAAGTGTGTGCGGCATAATTATCAAAGGATGTCTGTATAAAGCTGTCAGTGGGGACAATGCTGCAGAAAACTACAGTATTATGTTGGTAAGTCATTTGCTCCTAATTGATGCCGGCTCTGGAGTGAAACTGCAGCACCAGTGTGGTAATACAGGCAGCAGGCCTGGGCTATAACTGTCTACTTTAAAAGATGTGCATCTTTCTGTTTTTGGCCAACTCACTGGTTTTGCACATTGGAAGCTGCATTACACATTTGAAATTCAGTCACTTTGGTGTGTTAGCCTGCTGTTTTGTAAGAGCTGCAGTACCCAAAGCAGCACCTTGTATGGTCAGTGCAGCAGCAGCAGCAGCAGTGTTTGAAAGATGTGTCTCCTCTGTAAACACAGTTAACCGTGGCGTTGCTGTCCTTCTCCCGCGGCTCGTCCATCATTCAGTGGAACCTGGTCAGGAGTGGACTTTGCATGTTGGCAAGAAGAGAAGTTTTACCTGGCAGTCACTCAGATTTTGTAGTCTTTGTGTGAGAGGCTTTGGAACCTCCCAGTGACAGATAACTCTGCATTTTGATGCAGAGCCAAGCACCCACCCTCCACAGAGAAGAAGAGAAATGGTGCCCAAATTAGGGGGTGTTGTTCAGCAGCAGGACTATAATCGCTGAAGCCAGGCCCCAGCTAGTTCTCAGCCTCGGGGGACGCAAAAAGTACGAGTGAAAGCTTCAGTCACTGTGAGACAACTGGCAGGGACGTCCGGCCGCCATCAGCAGCCTCTCTTCTGCCCACACTGACACAACCCCTGCTCTCCAGAGGCAGATTACACCAGCTGACATATGAACCTGTGTGCGCTCGCTCAGAATATTTGGAGGATATACACTCCTCAGTTCTAGATGAGCAGCGAAGGAGACAAATTCTCCCGAGAAGCTGATACTCTTTTAAATATACTGATTGACGCATGCCTGACCCTAGGCTCCACGGCAACCAAGGAAAACGCAAATACACAGGCTGTCAACAGTTCATGCATATATTGTGACTCAGAGTGAAGCCACTTGAAGCTTCTTACCAGGAGCACAGTTGTCCACCAGAGCTCCCAGGGCCTTGCCATCTCGCCAGTCACGGTTGAAGTTGGTGATGGGCAGTTGAGGCACCTTGTTCTGGATCCAGCCCAACAAGCGCTGCTTGGGGGTCATCTTCTTGGCCTCCTCATCATCCTCGTCGTCCCACATGGGCATGGAGATAGAGTAGTGGAGGATGAGAGTCCAGATAAGACCCAGGATGAGCTTTAGATTCCCATCCACTATGGCTTTGCTATCTGCAGTGGGACAGTACAGAGATTTTTTTTTTTTTAAGTTAACGTAATGCATCATGTCTTATGGCAGCAATTTGCATTTTCATTCTTAATTGCTCATGGAACCCTTGGGGAGAATGGTGCCGACTTATAGCCAGTTAGTTTAAATCCCATATCTGGGTGGTTGCTGTACCCACACATCTTCCCTTGGGATGTTGGCGAAAGATCCGAGACACTAAATGTGTAACACTAAATTATGCACATATTTTTTCATCATAAATATAACCATGTTATAGCCCGAGCTGCACACTTGACCCTACAATTCTGAGCAGAAATATAAACAATAATGATTGACTGCTGAGGAGACAGGAATCTAATGCTCCATGCTGCTTCCCCCCCCTAGCCCCTTTCTCTTGGACAGCTGTCTGGCTGAGGACCCCTGACAATCTGTCATCCAGTCACAATGGTACTCGAGACAGTGACAGCTGAGGATATGTGGAAGTGGAGGCCTCTCTGCATAAATACCAAATGGACTTCAATTACCTCTAAAACTTATAGCACTGTGGTGTGATAAATCAAAAAGACAGAGATTAGCTGCACTGACAGGGAGCGCACGGCTACTTTCCTGAAGTCCTCCAAGGAAAGTTTTGTCAAATAAGCCATTTTCTAATCTATTCCTATTTAGAAATTCAGCCCTTCGAGCCCCAAAAAAAAAGAGTGGTAAACTTTAACTTCACAATGTGTGAGTGAGAACATTCAGTAAGGCTTTATTAAGGGAGAGACTTTGATCAAGCTGTTTATCGTGAGGCATTTCTTCAGGCTGTTTCTGTGCTCATAGATCAGTGGCCTCTATCGGAGACCGCCCGTGTTTGATGTGAACCCGCTTGACTGGCACAGGCAGGTGGGCATGATGTGACACGGTGTGATTTGGATCCTGCTGTGTCCCACTTTATGGGCAACTGTGTAGGCAAATGGACATCCATCATACGGCATCTAGTTACACGCTGTGACATATGTGCATCTCAGCCATCTTTTGTTTTTTTTTTAGAGGCAGAGGCATCATTTAATGTGCTGCTCTGAACCACATCTAGAGCACCTAGGGAGGGCGCTGATAAAAGCTGAGACCTCTATTATCATGTCCTGTTTATGTCAGAATAGTCTGACCTACTGTCTGTACTGCTATGGTAAATGTGCCACAGGCATGACATCACAGCTCTGGTCACACTATCCTGGAAACACACACACACCTAAGAGACACTGAGGTGATATCTGTGATCGTCACCTTTGGCCTCCACACACACACACACACACAGGCAGAGCATGACCAGGGTGACAGACTGCGGCCTTCACAGTGCATCGGCCAAAGCCTCAACCATGCCAGGAATTTCACCCATGTGTGTGTGGAAGCATGACAGGTTTCCAAAACAGGACAACCGAAAGTTTAATAACCGTTGTCATGTTAAGACAACGTACTCGTCATGAATTCATAACTCTTAGACATTTTGTATCAGGCTCATATTCTCTCCTGTGTTTTTTACGAACAGTGTTGGGGATGTGGTTTCCTCTTGTGACTGACTGTGAGTCACATGAGCTTCAGCTATCGGTGCCTATCAGTCGGATCCTTTAAGTCCCGTAGGATATTATCCTCACAGTCTAGCAGGTAATTGGCTGTAAAGAAGCCCCTGGTGTGTCATGGTGACCCCTGACCGTCCAGCTATGAGCCGGTGGCATCCATGTGAGTATGTGTGCTGACCAAATTAATGAACTGCGTCATTCTCATTAGCACCGTCTTGGTGAATTTCCAGTTCATAGTTGACCATCATTTTGCTGCAGGACATACTTCAGGTCCTTGGCTGTGAGTGTGACACGGTGAGTTAATGACCTCACCTCTGCAGTAACTTTCCAGGATAAGCTGTTGACCTCTGCTCCCCGGAGGCCTGTGAAAAGCCATGTCTCACTGTGGCTGAAACAGAGGCTGATAACGTAGCAGGCCAGCAGCTCCAGAATGGGTTTGTGTTGGTGAGGATATGACCAATATTAAAATATCATGTGGCATAAAATAGTTCCATTGTAAATGGCTTATCCCTTTAACATCCAAGTAATGCCTGTCATTTGGATCAGGGCACGCACACACACACACACACACTGTCAGTGGCAGCTATCATAGATGCCTCCTTCATACTACAGGGTCCTCTCTAATAATAGCCTGGCAGCCTCCTTGTGTGCAGGTCACAGCTGAATTGTTTCCATTGAAAGCAGAGCATTAAAGAGCAGGGTTTGGATGACTTACCAATCGAAACCAGTTTGATGTGCTCTCTGTCCAGAAACTCCAGCGCCACTGAAACATTTTCCAGCTTCATCTGACGGAAGTTGGGCCTGACGTGGTGCTTTTTGTACATTTTCTTCTGGCTCAGAACCTCCAGCAGTGAAATGAGTTTTAGCCCATCAGTAAAATCCCTTTGCAGGTCGGTGACGGTCTTGTTGACGCACTTGAGGTGCTCGTTGCACCACCTGGTGAAGGTGTTCTGCTGGATCTTCTTCCATGGCGCGTCCTCGGCCAGGTCCTTCTCCGTGGCTGGCATCTCGTCGTCCTCTTCCCCAAAGTCGGTGGCCTGGTAATGCTGCGGCTCGTCGCTGTAGTTATTGCTCATCATGATGGCGTTTTCCGTCTCCACTTTTATACCGCGGTGACACTCGCCTGTTGAATTGTGCGCTCGGCGCAGCGCAAAAAAAAAAAACTTTCGCAGGTGGATGACAAGCGGAGGAAAGTTCAAACTCGGAGGAGTTTGATAAGCAGCCTGGAGATTTTTTTTTTTTTTTTTTTTTTTCGGATGCCCTTGCGAAGAGTTCGCCTCTGTCAGGCCAGTGATGGATGAATTTATCCGACGTAACGCGCAAGGCAGCTGCTGCTCTCTCTTTTAATTGGCACCTTCTTGATAGGTCCTTCCTTTCTTTTTTAATATGGCCCCGAGTAGAGTTGAGTTTGGAAAGTAGAAGGTTTTTTGGTGTCAGCAGAGCTGGACCAGCACTGAGACTGTTTGACTTGACTGTCGAGAGAGGCAGGACTTGGGTTTATAAAGGAGCCAGGGCCGCGTCACTCAGCCGCTGTGATCATAGTCTATTTGTTCATCCATAGGGATAACGGCAGCCGGGGTCGGTTTACGGAGAGGATGGGACGGGGATTGGTCAGAGCTGCGGCAGCGCAACAGATGCGCCACGCTCCATGCATGCTGCTTATTTTTAGGAGCGCCTATTTGGGCGCTGGGGGGGCTGTGACTTACCGATTGTTGTGAATGTGTGTGTCGCACTCAGGGTCCAAGTGGTTGAACAATTGAGCTAAGAAAAGAAAGTGAGAAGTGCGGAGTCTGTGTCTAAACCTTCTCAGTTTAAAGAGAATAATTGTCTAAAGCTGGAGTTTACTCATCATATTCTCACACCAGGGCCCTACAGAGAGACAGAGAGAGAGAGAGAGAGAGTTTTTTAAAGATGAGATCACGCTGGGGAAGATGTAGCAAATGAAGCAAGTTCACATTAATCTGCCACCACTCAGTGAAATGCGTCTCCATGTGGACAGGCAGGGGTCAACACATGCACAGAGAGGGTCAGAGAAGGATCACTGGTCAGAAATGAACAATGTCCGCGGAGGATTGAACTCTGAATTAAATTCATATCCCAACCATCACTCTAATGCAAGCCCTTCAGCCCGCAGAAAGACGCAAGTCATAAAGTCGTAAAAGCATCCGAAAAAGTCTTTCATTTTTTTAATAAAGTAAGATGTTTCTCTAGATCGCTTTTATTTATGTCTGAGGGTTTTTCCAACAGGAATTCCCATCAGAGAGTTGAGGAAATGGAAGAAAATGATCAGATGGAGCTAGATCAGAATCTGTTGCATGGCTTCTATTGGAGTTTGTTTTAAACAAAAAATAAAATCTAATTGAATCTAAAAAAGAGACATGTCTGGACATGTTTTAGTTATTAAAATCGGACACCTTTTTTAAAATATATGCCTTGGAATCTTTAAATCATTATTTTTAAAAATGCGTGGGTGGTTGTACAACGACTGCACTTGGCCAATTCATGTCTGGTGAAAGCTATTGTAGAAGTTCCAGTCCGAAGTAGTAAAAACGAAATATTAATTTTAAATATAATTTTGAAAGTACATCTACCAGAAAAACATATAGGTAGTAATGTGGAGTATTACTCATAGATCACTTCAGGCTTTTATCTATTTTTTCTGGGCCAGATTGAATGCTTACTTCTTGCTTCATTACTGCATTTTACTCCCCTGTGCTGTATGTGGATACAGTATGTGCCCTGTATGTTTACTAGTAACATTTAGTTATTGGTAATGATGTGACAAGTCCGGTTAAAAAAAATTAATATGAAATTAAACTGAACCAGATGTCTAATGGACTCATTAGTAAGCGCCAAACATATTGAAGGGTGATGGCACGCTCATCGACAATCGTCTGTAGCAGCTCTTCCCATACTGGACTGGAGACTGAGGGACAGAAATATCATAGCTGGCATCCACGTCAGGAGTAATTATATAAAATGTAAAGACAGCTGACACATATATGTTGTTCTTTTCACGACTGTCTGACCAAATGAGAACCGACAGGAACCGCTGTGCAGGAAACAAAATCCTCTAATAATCTTCATACAGAACAAGTCGTAACCAATGAATATTGTTTTCGCTGCAGGCCTGTAGGAGCTGCCATGTTGTCGTGACTCAGCAGTGACAAGGCAGTGACACCAGATCCCAGCGCCACCAGCCTTGATGAAGCTGTGGGAGGTAGGAATAACTGTGACACATGCAGAAAGTATTCATGGGATATTTACTCTGGACGCAGCCTGGGGGGCACATGCTGATCCCCCGCTGTAAAATGAGATATACCAAAGTACTATACCATAGTACTACTATACTAAAATACTAAATGACCTATGATGAATCACAAACCTTAGTCAGACACCACAAGTGTCAGCCAATTATAATGGATGAAGACCAGACTCTTATAATAAAATGTCCGAGGACAATCGATAATCATCATTATAACAGTTATGATGATGATTATTACTAGTGGTGGTGTTGTAAAGTATGTATATATATTAAAATATATATATGTGTATATATGTGTATATGTGTATATATAGATATATACATATATGTTTATATATACATATATATAATGTCGTGGTATTATTAGTACTTATTTGTTTTTTATTAGTAGTACTTTTGTTGATTTTTGCTAGCTATAACTGAAGCCAACATCAGGCACCATGTAATTACATCTCACATTTTTATTATTGTTATTGTTAGTGTTGTTGATGTTGGTATTAACATTGGCATTGGTATTATTATAATTATTGGTATTGTACAGGTTGGTATTTTATAGTATAACATTTTATAAGTGGGCTCATTAAAGGCATGTATTGTATAGGTTGGCATTTTATAAGTGGGCTCATTAAAGGCACTTTTTTTTTTTGCCATGTCATTAGTTTTAGCTTTATTTTTGTTGACCTTGTAGTATTCCTGTTTTTTTTATTTTTTTTAAGTTCATTCAAAATGCCAAGAAAATAATTAGGGTGGCTTAGAACAGACAACATTTTTAACTCTAAAAGTTAAAATATTTGTTGTACAGGAAAGAAAGGATAAACCATGTAGTTAGACACTGTTCATTTGTATGTATTTGTATGATACTCCGTGTATAACTCACAATATCCTTTATTAAACCCTACTTCCTCATTTTCTGGACTGACTCCAGGTACCAGTAAAACACAGTGAGTCTTCAGTCGGTGTGTGTCTAGTGTGGGCAGGTGTAGAACTCTTTAGTTTCTTCAACGCTCCTCTTCAAACATCAATGACTGGAGATTAAAGTAAAAAAGCGAATCATAAAAAAAAAAAAATCACGTCTGCTCACCTGGACACTTCTCACCTCACTGTATATCATTACTGAACACTTGTGAAGGCCTGCTTCACAGACGCAATCCTGTTTAATTAGCATTCACCTGGTAGCCTGTCAGCTGTAATGTTAAATATTTAAAGAGGAATTTGGGCTAAATTTGTTGAACAGAAAGCCATGTGACAGAGGGCGGCGGGGAGGGCAGCTGGTGGGATTGGCTGATGATCCAGAAAGGATTTTTCAAACAATGATTTTGCCAAAACTCTGTTGGTGATGAAGATTAAAACCAGAAGTCGGAAATTGTGTTTTAAAATTATGCAGGTGCTGGAAACTAATAATGCTGTTCACTTCGTCTGTTATATTGTTAATGTTTATGAATTTGTATTTAGCGGCTCTTAAACATAGTAAAAGAGTCCTGGCAGCAGCAGAGCGGTGAGTGTAGTGAGTGACTCCTCCTCGTCAGTGACGATCAGTCATCACTTCCTTCAGTCAAACTACCACCTCTGTCACTTTACGTCACCTCTTGGGAGCGCAGGTTATAAATAACCACACGACGAGTGTAAGGTGATGCCTGCAGCTTCTCTAGGTCTCTCACTCTCTCTCTCTCTCTCTCTCTCTCTCTCTCTCTCTCTCTGCAGATGACTGCTGTTGATTGCATGAATGAGACAGTGCGGACCTCAAACCAGTGTCCGACAGTCGCTGACGCCAACTTCCAGGAAAAGACATCTTGTCAATGCCACGTGGGTATTACAACATATTTATTTCTTAAGTCATCTTACATTACAAAATAGACCTCCAGGTAACAAAATAGCCACAAATATTTTTCTAACAACACGGCTACCAATATGTAAAGCAGCAAGCTGGGCAACACTGTGCGACACAGAAACGTAGGAGTAAGTTTATAGTCATGAAATCAGGAGATCAAAGACGGATAAATCATCCAACATTCACGAGTGCAGTCAATGGGGAGGGGATTCCTGTTGAAAACCTACAGTTTTCAATGCGTTTCTTAGATATATAATACCATCAGCCGTACTGGGTTTTTTTTTTTTTTTTTAACAATTGAGTGCGATCTAAAACATATACATATATGTCATTATTTTATTTTGATTTTTTTTCATTTAACACCATAAATAAATGACTCAAATTTGGCTATCAAATATATACAAAGCTCTTTCAAAATAGAATAGACTTTCTAAGAAACCTAGTACAAATGCGGTTAGGAAATATCTCTCCCGTAGTACTATATGTCACATGTATTTACATGAAATACAGAACAACGTCATTAGCATAACCAACACAAATAAATTATACAGTATAATCTGCTTTTTCGTGTATATGTTAGCATGCGCGTGTCATTATTTAATGGTCATTTCACAAAGGTAAACAACTTTTCCTTCACATCTTTGTGTCTTTGAACAAACCAGCCTTACAGCACAGTTGGTACATTATGTGCATTTATGAGTGCATTTGAATTCGTAGCTGGAGAATGTAGATTTTGAACGTCAGCTACATTAGCTGCCACATTTCTGTTTCTGCGTTTGTTGTGCACTCTTTGAACAGGAGACCGAGGATTTTTGAAATTTTTTGCAAGTGTCAAATACTGCTGGACGAAAGACTGGACTCACTCAGCAGTCAGTGATCACTGTTGTCTGAGTCACTTCGACCCAGACGTAATAATAAAGGAGGGCAGCCTAGTGGGAAGCGGGAGTGGGAGTTTGGAATCGTAGGATCGCTGGTTTGAAACCGCCCCAGCAGGACTGTGGTGTGTTGAGCAAGCACTAAAACTCCCCCGCTCTTTGGGGGCATGTCCAAAAGGTGCAGCCCACTTCTCCTGTGTGACTGGGGGGTGTTTCAAGAATCTGTTAAATGCAGAGAATGTTTGGAATTTCTCTTACAGAAAAGTAGAGAATTGAAAAATACATTTAAATAGAGACCTGGACTTCTGGCAGGACAGTCAGGCAGATGAACTCCAACATGATTTTGTCATTTGTACAGAATTATGCTGTAAATGATCCGGGTAAAAATCCTAGATCTGGAGTTCTAGAATGAATGTTTTTAAGCCATCGATTGTACATTGTTAACATGATGCAGCCCTACCTCGACACAGATGATTGATCACTCAGTTGATCAACTGTTTTTTGGGCAAAACGGACTGTTATCAACGTCACATTTGTGTGCACTAACGACTGTATTTGTTTTTTGCAGCACTGATGTACGGCTTCCTCGTTGGGTAACGCACACTCTCAGGGAGGCGTTCTCCAGGTAGGCAGACTGCGTTTAAGCAACAATGATTTTCTAAAGTATTCCACACCCTGTGCCTATGAGCTTGAAGGTTATACTCATTCAGCAGCAATGTTTTTCCCTTTTACTACAACAACATAGATTTCCCCAGACTCCCTGGATCGTTTCACAACAATATTAACTCTTGTTGGTGACAGACCTGATTTTTCTCCAACCTTTTTCTAACAAACACTTTTTTTATCTCTAAATAAATTTCTGAAGTCGAACATAAAGTTCCAAAACATTTTTACTTAAGGCCGAGTCTTGAGCAACTAGTCAAACTAATAAGGTGATTACTGAATGTTATTATTATGACATTTTTAATCCCTTAAAACAACTTTTGGGAGTTTGTTGCAGTCTTTTGGTTCTTCATTTGTTTATGTTAAATAGACAGAATTATGATGGTCAGTGGTCAGTTTTTTTGATTTGAGGGTTTCGTGCACTTTAAGAAGTGTACCAACTTTCTGGAAATAGGATTTGTATTGTATTCAACAGTCACACAAACAACCAAATGACTGTCCTCTTCATTTGCACTGTTGGCTGTTGTAGGTTTGGGCTCATGCCACATGAAGAGCTGTTACATCCATGAGCGGTAGAAAAGGGCGAAGTTTCCTCCCAGATCCAATCCAACAGTAAGTTTCAAACCTTTCTTTACACAATACAATGTCAATGTGGTCAGCTGTAATCCCATTTGGATGAAATTTGTTGATAAAACATGACAGGTGTGTGATCAACATCTAAGCCAGGGCTCACACCGTTTGGTTTCTTTTAGCAAAAGCTGTCAAACACTGGTGAGACTGTTTGACCTGTGACCTGACAGCTAATGGATTTTTAAACAAGCACTGGCGCAGCGGCCTTTGTGAATGTGTCTCCACTGGGCTTTAGATATTGACAGTGTACAAAGTCATTAAAATGCAGTTTAACGGCAACTGCGGGACCTTTAGTCAAGTTTCCCCGTGGAAATAAATGGGCCACAATGGTGGATCCAAAGACACATGGCCCGAGCTGAAGTTAGCTCTCACTCTGACCATGACTGAACTGGAGGCTGCTGGTAAATAGACAGCACACATTGTCATCAATAAGCTGCTTTTCTTTTTGATTAATAACATAGTTTAATACTGTGTAATTCAATAAAGTAGATGTTCAATAAATATAAAAATAAATTAAATAATGATGTCAGAATGTCATAAAAGTCCGGTGAAGATCAACACAGAGTTAACATAAAAAAATATTACATTTTAGTTAATGAAACATATTGTAATTTGGACATTTCATTGATTTCATTGAACGGGACTAAAACTCCAATTTAACCAAAACAAAGTCAACACTGTTGTCATGTTTTATCATCCTGTTTCAACCATAACCTTGACATAAAGTTAATAAAACTGGCATGTGTGAGAGTTCAGTGTGAGCTCCAGGTCGACTGCCTATTATCTAGTCCTCACGCTGTACCCATGTGACCAAGGTCCCACGTCTGGTCCAGTAGGTAACGCCGACTGGGGCTGGTAATAGAATTGAGGGCGAATTGTTCCAAAAACAAACAGATCTGATCCTCAGAAGTGACTTCCAGATTCACTGAGAATATTTTTCACCGGTGCATGACAAAAGTAGAGCACAACATATTTTAAGTGTAACTGTGCTGCTGTAGGTGGAAGTGTTCGAGAGTGTGAGCGGGGAAAATATATAAGAATTGCCAAACTGAGAATCTGGCTTCCTGGTGAACTCATAATTAAAGTCAGACACGTGGGCGTTATCTATTATGAGAGTCAGACGTTCAGCAGTGTTTGAGCAGGTGCAGAGACAAAGAGGAAATCTTCAGGCAGGGTTGGTAACTGGGGTGACGTCCAGGTTGTTCTCTGCCTTTGAAAATGCAATAGTAAAAAACACCTTTGTTATCTGTATTCACACTTTAGGGCCACGCTGAGGGTAAAAAAAAAAAAAAAGTCTAGATATGTTTGAGAAAAGCGTATGTTTAAAAGGAAAAGGAAATACGTTTGCAAGCATAGAAGTTGTAATTACGTAAGAATGAAGTTGTAGAATTGTGCGAGAAAAAGTTGCAAATATATGAGAAAAGTCTTGAGTTTAGGAGACGTGTTTCAGGAGTGAGAAAGTTCCCGGTGTTTATATAAATAAGGTGATACTGAGAAGTGGAAAAGGTTGAGTCAAGAAACTTCGTTGTACTCCACTACTTCCACTACTCTTTATGATTGTAGTTCACTGTAGTTATGACGAAATTTAATTTCACAAACTCATTATCTAATCTTTGTTTTCATTCTGTAGTTATGACTAAATTTAATTTAAACTCATTATCTAATCTTTGTTTTCATAAATTTGTCACTTTGTTGATATTAGTTCCTGTATTACTTGTCTTTTCATATTACATTATTCTGAAAATTGACTCTTACGACTACATGTTTTTTCGTAAAATTTCTACTTAATTCTCGTAAATTTACAACTTCATTCTGGTATGGTTTCATTTTTTTTTTTTTTCCCCTCAGTGTGGCCCTAATGTGTGTATCGCATACTGTTAATTATGCAGAGAACTCTTTAGTTATTCTCCGTTTGACGATTGGAAATGCAGTGTCACCACGTGTCACATTTACAAACTAATTTTTTTCAACAAACGCAATCTGCTATTTCTACTGAAATTCAGCGACGTAAATCCATTCACCTACAGCTATAAACAGCAATTCAAGCGACGGATGAATGAATAAATAAATAAATAAATAAAGGCCCCGTAAACAAACGGAGAGCCGTCGGGTGCACATTTACAATAGGAATCTTCGTGTCATCGCATTGTGGAGCTAGAGGAGAGAAAGAGAGAAAAAAGGGCGTTCACAGACGGGAGGAAAAAAAAGACACAACACTAGCGTACAGTCGGTGGAGCTCAGTCCTTGCGTCGCTCTCTCTCTCTCTCTCTCTCTCTCTCTCTCTGCAGACTCTTTCCTCCACGTCTGCACGTGCAGGTCTTCACTGCAGAGAGAAATGTCCTCATCTCCTTCTAACTCGGCTCCTGTTACATGTAGGGAATTTCAGTTTCAGGCCGAGCGTGGCCGGAGCAAACCAGGGCTGGTCTGGAGCAGACGTCTGTCCCTTGTGCAGTTGTCGCCCATCCAGTCAACATCGGACCAGAGCTCTCAACAAGCCGGTCATCATCAGTAACACTGCTGTGGCTGCAGTGATAGTCAAAATGGAGTTCAAACCTACCTCACTCCCCTGAGGGCAGACAGGGAAAAAAAAGGAAGTGTCAAGAGTCAGTAAAGAAGATCCATCAGCCGTGAATTAAAAATAGTGAGGTTGTAAAGGAGCAGTTCAGCCGTGTGGTTGTGGAGAGTGAGATGAGAAGATTAAAGGCCTTTTGCTGCAGTACGTCTGTGTAACTTTTTAAGATGTGTATGCACTGCAGTACTTTTCAAGGAACTTTTCATAATTTCTGTTCCAGAGTGGCCAGGCCTAAATGTCAACCCGGGGGTCCTCAACCTGCGGCTCCACTACCACATAAGGTAAGGATCTTTTTCTTCCTTGCCTGGTCTCAACCGCACGATCATATCTGATGAGTTTATTTAACAAAAACCCCAAATTTAGCCTGACTAAATCAAAGACAAAACAAATCATGAATTACAAACCTCATCAGTATTGTACTTAGTAACCCAAATTTAGCCTGACTAAATCAAATACAAAACAAATCATGTCTTACAAACCTCATCAGTATTGTACTTAGATAACAAACAGCTGTACAATTTGAACAAAAATCAAGTTAAATCAGTTCTGGACGCCACACTACATTCTCTGCTTGCCTGCTAACGGCAAAATAAGTTGTTTTTTTTTTAAGGTAGAACACGCAAATGTGACTCCAGGTCAATGTAGGTTAATGTATTGAGTGTGGAAATCTTTATAACTTCGCTTGTACACGCTAATGCAGATGCTATGCTACGAAGGTCATCCTGGATACACAGGGTCACAGCTGGAGATCGAACTTGGTCGGAAAAGCATCCTAGTTATTTACTGATGTGGCAGCCAAATTCCTGTGTCTACTGTGCGTGAAGAATGAACCAATCAGATTTGCCATGTAAATGAATGGACTTTGCTATTGCTAAGTTCAAGTCTTGGAGCCAGACACATCCTTCTGTCATTAGTTAAGCTGCGTCAATCTTCTCATTTCACTCATACTCAACCAAGAACGCTGATGTGAAGTAATCCTGTGTCTTAAGAACTGAACCAAGAACGCACCATTGTTTCTGATGTGAAGTAATCCTGTGTCTTAAGTCGCTCGGCGTGACTCAGTCATCTTGACAAACTGCCCACCCGTCCCGCGTCCATCATCTATCTTACTCCAGCTCTATTTGGCATTTCATGACTAATGAACTACTCTTAATAAACACTACAGTCCAGTCAGTTCATATAAGTACAAATAATCTTTTTTTTTAAAAATTATTATTATTATTTTTAGCTGTTCTCCTCAGGCGTCACCACAGCCGATCATCTGCCTCCATCTTGCCTGCTCGGCTGTTACACCAGCCATCTTCACATCCTTCTTGGCTCCATCCTCCTGCCTGGCAGCTGTATTTCTAACGTCCCTGGTCCAACACTTTTGCTATCTCTCCTCAGCACATGTCCAACCCATCCTAACTTTCTAACTTTATTTCAAACTTCTCAACCACAGTTCTTCTTCATTTCCTATCCCATCCGTACGTTTCACAGTCCCAATCCGTCCCTGTCAGCCGTGTCACTGTCATAGCATTCACAGAAATAATTATTCTTGACCAACAAGGTTTTTTTTATGAATGTACAACACTAACAAATCCTCTCTTAGTTAATTTGGACCATCATCAGACTCTTAAGTCTTTCATTGATAATGAAGTTTGCGGAGTTATCTGATTGGAATCAGTCGTTTTGTTCGGCTTCACGCTCACCCGCTTTATTGATCAGCTGATTGGTTGCCAGCGATCTATGCTCATCTCATCTAGTTCCTGCAGATATACGAGCAGCTGCTCTCACCTAACACTTCTCATTATTACCCCCCCACCAGCGTCCATATCTGCTACGGCTCTTTCCTCCTCCACCTCCTACATCTCCTCCTCTGCCTTGTGCTACTCTGCTATAAATCTAATTATGTACATGTTTATTATAGTGCTGAGGGGTTAGTACTCCCAGCTGAACCACTACTGTTGTCCTCAAAAAGCACAGCCTTTCGGCCCACTTAATCTATAAGACCGTTTTCCGCGAGTGTCTCTAATAAACCTCTTTCTGCTTAAGAAAGCATGAATAAGAACTGCGGACAGAACAATCAGAAACAAATCTGCCAGAGCAGAAACAAAGTGGAAAGATAAGGGACCGTGTTAGAGCTGCTAAACACAACGGCGCTGCAACATCACACGTCTCACTTTGTTGTGATATCATTCACTCGCATTTGCATGAGCTGATGTTTCTGGTGTATGTAGCATTTCAGATAGAGATCGGCTCCTCTCGTACCTTGCTCTCTGGGACGCCAGCTCCGACAACCAGCACCAGACCACAGCCACTATTACAATCATTCCTATGAAGGGGATGGAGAGAACAGGGTGCTCAGATGGATGGATGAATCTCTGAGGAGGGAAAAAGAACAAACACACGGGACGTGGAGATGAAGGGAACAGATGAACTGATGGATTAAAGTAAGAAAAAACAAACCAAAAAAAAAACCACACAAAGATTAAAGAGATGGATCACTACCACTGAACAAATCACTAACACAAATGTGTCACGTGGAACAGAGGGGGGTGAACGGGCTGTACAGTACTGTAAATACTATTCAGGAAAAAACAACGTTATGGCGACGTATACAAGGCTGGGTCAAAGGTCAAAGTTCTATATATTATATATATATATATTCGATATATTCTAAAATCTGATCACAGAGTATCTGTAAATTAAGATTAAGCACAAAAGATTAATTGTGAATAATCGTCCACATAGTTGAGAATCATGAATCACGATTAATCATGATAAATAGTGCACCTGATTGAACACTGAAATACGATTAATCATGCTGGCGTACGTGATTCAGCATTTTTAAACATGATTAATCGTGATAAGTTTTGTATGTGATTCAGCCTGATTCATTACAATTAATCATGTTTAATCGTGTACATTAGCATCGTTTTGTACGTGATTCAGCCTGATTCATCACAATCATGTTTAATCGTGTACATTAGCATGATTAGTCGTGATTAAACAATTACATAAAGACATTTCTCTACATTTCTGATGGTGGTGTTCGCCTCAGAAAATCCCTTCTTTGTAGAATTCGGGGAGATGACTTTGACACCACCTGCTTCTTTGCCTTGTCTAAGGACTGAAATCTACCATCTTTCAAATGTTCTTTGAGTTTGGGGGAAAACAAAAAGAAATCAAACTCTTTTTCAAAACTTCAGCAAGTTTTACAGATTTTCATTCAGGTTTGGTTTAAAGTTTGATGTTTTTGAGGATTGAAAATCCCGATCAAATAAAACAAAGCTGTACTTTTGACAAAAACACAATGATGAGACTTGGAGCCTGTTGACTTTCTCTAAGCGTGTGTTAAGAATACTGTGTGGCTGCATGGGATGATTTGGTGAAGAATGAAAGACAAAGACGTAGATGTTGTAACGTACGGGCGTTATTCTGTCTTTTTCCTTATTTTATACTACGGTGACTCAGATGTTTACGTTTTCTTCTGTTGTCACAGACTGGAGACTTCACGGACAGTCGGAGAACACGGACATGAGCAGAGGCACGGGCAGACAGTTTGACAAAACGCTGAGAGACATTCACAACAGGGCTGTTGTAGACGAAACACAGTGTGTTGGCCTTTTTCTCTACATATACAACCTGATTTAGCAACAGAAGAAGGAGAATTTTCATCACAGTATTTTTCCAAAAAACTAGGTTTTGAAAATATGGGGAAATTAAGATTCGGGTGAAAAACAAATCAGGATGCAAAATGCAACCATGCTTTTATGAGACGGTCAATTCGATGTAATGAGGATTTCTATAAACTCGGGCCGGTTGTTAAACTTTAACTGCAATCCAGCACCTTATAAAATAAATATACAAAGAATTTTGTGTGCCTGCAGAGAAGCCAGCAGAAAACACTGTACAGAATCTTAAAAAAAATAAACATTGTTTTTGTGTGTTTGTCCAACAACAGTTCCAGGGCATCACTGTCACACAGAGGCTTGGACACAGACACAGTCAGGCAAGGATTCACCACTTCAGGCCACACAATAATTTCTGATATGTGCTGACAGGTCCTGTCAGTTCATATCAAACACACACACATATATATATATACTGTATATATATTCTCCTCACAATGAGAGACATATAAAGAGGTGCTCGACACACAGGAGATACAGCAGGTGTGATGTCGGGTGTTGTTATGTGTTAGTTGAGGACATGAGCAGAAACAAAGCTGGAAATAGCCAAAAGTTTAGCAAATTTCTTTTTCAGTCCTAATGATTGTAGCTACTTAAAACCTCAGTGGTGTATCTTTTAGATAACTTTTTTTTTTTTTTACTCACCTGAGCCCATCCTGACAGCTTCTCCAGCTCTGCCTTGCAGCGCTGCAGCTCCTCCTCCAGCTCGGCCCGCTCCTTCTGACTGCTTTCGTACAGTACCTGCAGCTCCTCCAGCTCCATCTTCAGGCCATCGCACTGGAGGAAGAAGACACGTGTGGGAAACATCAGAATTCATCTGCACTTCACTTCAGAGGCCCTGAACCACAGGAGGTAAGATTTACGGTCACTGTCTTATCGGTCTCAACGGTAAACGGCCTGCGTTTCTGGGTGAATCGCTTTGACCGTGCGGCAGGATCTTGTTCATTAGTATTGGTCCATTCACATATGTTAAATAAATAAAGGAAGGGACAATGGTAATTAATATGAATTACTTAATGGAGTGAAAAATGGAAGTTGACGTCGACAGCTTATACCTCTAGTGCCTCGGGTGTTTACTTGAATCTGTCTCCTAGCTCGTCTTCATCTGGCCTTGTGCTAAATGAGCAGCTGTGCTCAGAGTTTAAGTTGTGCATACCAGCAGTCCAGCAGTTGGCTGCGTCGCCATGACAATCTATAAATATTGTCAGGTTATAAAAGTGATCAGTTGTAACAGACACTCCAAACATCTCTCTTGTCCTGTCCTGACTCTTTCAGAAAATAAAATTATATAGATGTTCCAACACGTTTTACATGGTTCATAACATTTAGTTCCAGTCACTGGTCTCGGAGTCAGTTGAACAAGATGAAAATGTAAGATGAAAATCACCTGCAGGTATTGGTTGGTGTGGCTGTCTGTCACTAACGATACAATAACTCATCACACCACAGCTGATGCTTGGATTCATCATCATTATTAATGAAATGGATTTTCATTTAAAGGAGAATCTAAACTTTTAGTAGAGACAACAAACTGGGTTTAAATGGTTATTGACATGTTAAATTGAATTAAATATAGCCTGATTCACCAGGAGGATACCAGGGTCCGATGGAGCTTCTTTTAAAATGTACTTTAAGACCAATGTTTGCGGAAGAATCCACTTTGAATACAACATCTGCAGCAGTGTTTAAGGAGAGTCGACTCTAATAGCTTCTTTTTTTTTTTTTTTTTTTAAGAGTCGACTCTAATAGCTTCTCTTTTTTTTTTTTTTTTTCTCATTTATCCACTTTTAACAGTAATCGATTCGTGTTCATGCATGTGCATAAATGTCTGTGGGTGGATGTTTGTAGGTTCAGGGGAGAAGAGCGCGTCAGGTTTTCTTAGCTCCTTGGTGGCATGTCCACTATCAAAAACTCTACCCACACTCTAATTTCCATCTGTGTTTGTATCCACTAAAGCCCAGTTTACAAGACTGATTTCAAAAGTAGACACTGAAGCCTCGTACCTCTCTCTGAACCTGTGAGGCCTTTTCCTCCGCCTGTTTGACCTGGTCCCTCAGAGAGAAGATCTCCCCAGCGCCTCCATTCCAGCTGGTTGGTGTCATGGGTTTCCCCTCAAAGGAAATGTTCTTCTGTATGGAGGCATCCACCAGGCGACAACCCTGAGACTGGGCCATGGTCATGTAGCTCTCTGTCATGACCTCATCTGGGCCAGTTTCCATCTCCTTCCCCTCTGTGTCCTCCCCTCCGTCTTCCTCCTTCAGGGAGAGGTAGACACTGGAGCTGTGGACGGAGGAGAAGAGAACAGATTGATATCAGTCTCAGCGGGAAGGATCCCAGTGTCATGGCAGTTCTGGTTTAAGTTACTGCAGTGTCTTTGTTGTTTCTTTAGTAAAATATAATGTTAAAAATGGAAACAGTATTTTTTTTTTAATCTTCTTTTACCGGAGATGAAAGCAGCTCATTCTGTTTATCAGGTTCCTGCTTTAGCTGTAAATGATGAGCGTCAGCCCAAAAATCAATGCTGATCTCCCATGTGTTAATGTGATAATGAAGACTCAGGACTCAGAGCATCAACACGTGAAGGTGTCACGGCCTTTAGTGACATCTCAACACAGTGGATCTAAATTCAATTACTTCCATCATTTATCTCCTTTTTATAGAGTTTGCAGGAGGAGCTGGAGCCAAACGTAGATGTCTGTGGCCAAAGCAGGGCTCCATAGTGAACTCTTATGGTAAATCCAGTCTGTCTCAGCATGGGGCTGGAGAGAGCTGAGAAAAGAAGTTCCCTGGTGAAATACCAAGGGTATGTATAAAATATTTTACTTTATATTTACATATATTGGCTTTTTTTAAGTTATAGGAAAGGCTTAAAAACAAAGTGTTAAAAACTTTGCGAACCATATACTAGATATTTGCTATTCTTGTTTGAGCAAATCTATTAACAAACAAGGGTTGTAACCACAGTATATTTTATTTAAAAAAAAAAAATATAACCACAGTATATTTTATTAAAAAAAAAATCAAAAAATGATCTAATGTAAGACACACATGTTGGTTGTTCTTTGTTTCTTGACCTTGGGAACCTTGTAGGTAACAGACCCGTTCTTTTATTCTCATTGTTTCCTCCTCTCCTTCAGTATGACCATTACATTACTAACGTGACTTTTCACATCCTTCAACTTCAGCTTTCAATAACCTAATTGTTTTGGTTCCCAGTCTGGTTGCACCAATACAGAAAAATATTTAAACTGAAATCCATTTGCCTACTTACAGCCCATGCCCCCAGGGGGTGCCACACACTCCCGCCCTCACCTTGGGAACCGCTGGAGTTAATGATTAGTGAGCAGCCGACGACCTCTTACCTTGTCCTCTGTCTCTGCAGCAGATGCAGTCTCTCGGAAAGACGCACGTTGTCCTCCTTCAGGGTCTGACACTCCTCCCTCAGTGTGCGACACTCCTCCTTCAGCAGGTCTACGTCACCTGATGGAGCGGAGAAGGCCAGAGATGGATGTCACGTAAAAAGGACACAGGTCAGTAGAGTTTGTCAGGATGAGGTCAAACTTAGATACCAAATTTTTCTTTTTTATTTCAACATAATTATGTCAAAATGTGGATATTGTCCACCCCTATTGTCCCTCTGGAGGCTCAGCTACAGCGGTGACATCATGCGTTTATGACATAATGAAGTCAACGCCTCCTCCTCATGACTTCATCTACATGCTATCCTCAGTGTCCGACAGATCGGAGTGATGAACACCGAATAAGGGAAAACATTTCAGACAGTAGGACAAAAACAAAAACATAGAACCTTTTTATTGTTTTCTTAATCGTTGTTAACTATGGCTTTTTAATTTTCACATATTTAAGAGTTTCATTTCGGTTGAGCTCCCAGAGAATTGACTGGTGTTTCTGTCCAAAACTGAATCCTGTCTGAAGTCTTAGTTTGATGGATGGTGCTGGACTAGGACGGTGTCAATCATTCTCTGAGCTGGTGAACAGCCTGTGTGGCTAAGTCCATTGCCATAACACAATATTCTAAATGTGTAACAGCTAATGGAGTCACACACATCCAGCTGTAGCCCCCCAGCCCCCCACCCCAGGCACGTGTAAATTTCTCCTCATACTCTGAAAATGTTTTTTTTTTTTTACTATTCATTATTCACATTTAGTTAAAGTTACTAGTCAATAGTGACAGCAGGTTTTATTTTATTTTCTATTCTGGTATGTTTTGAACTGAATGACAATGAGCTGCCAGTCAGTAGTGGAACTTGAACTTGATGACTTGTTGGGTTTGATTTTCTACAGTCACTCAGTCATAGAGTGCCTCAGTCAATTCCTGTCACTGCAGGATTAGGAATCCACACAGTGAGGCAGGCTAGTGTGACTCCTACTGACTGACTGACTGACTGACTGACTGACTGACTGACTGACGCACTTACAGAGATACACACACATGCAATACTGTATGTAGTGAAAAATATATATATATATATATACATATATTGTATATATATATATATATACATATGTGTGTAAATATATATACATTTACTCTATATATGTATATATACAATATATGTATAAATATACACATATATACAGTACATATACTGTATATATACAATACATGTATATATATACACATATATATACATATACTGTATATGTATATATAGATGTGAGCGTAAATATATATGTAGGTATTTATATATATCATAGATGTGGATGTGAGCGTGAATGGTTGTTTGAAACTCTATATGTGGCCCAGTGAAGGTGAACTGTCCAGTGTGACCCCACCCTGACCCATTGACAGCTGGGGTTGTATCCAGCTCCACCACGACCCCGCTAAGGATTAAGCGGGATCTAATGAAATTTATATTTAGTCCTCGTCTTCCCTCACCCTCTCTCCTCTCGGCTTCCCTCCTTTGACTCTTCATGCTGATCTCGGCCCTCAGAGTGGTGATCTCCAGCTCGTACTCCTGGGTCTCCTCGCTGAGGCGTTGCAGTTCAGCCCGCCGACGACACAGCTCTTCCTGCAGGGAGGCGATGTCATTCTCCCTCTCTGCTGCCGCTTCCTCCGCTGCCTGCTGAAGAAGGAGCACCTCCTCCTGAGCCGCACGCAGCTCCTCCTGGGTTTCAGCCAGCTCGCTCTCTTTCTCTTCTTCCAGGCTGTCCATCTCCTCCTGCACAGAACGCAGCTGGGCTGAAACAGAGACATAATGAAGAAGGAGGAAGATGAGAAGGTAAAGTTCCCTGAAGTAATAAGGTGATAAAGTAAAGTGAGCCCCTCATCCTCCACCTGTCACTACAGTTATCATTAAAAAAAGTATCATAAAATTAAAAAAAAACAACTGTCTGATGGTGAGGAACTTAAATGACATGTTACCTTGTAAGTTCTGGATCTGACGTGTGAAGGCTTCAGCCTGATGTGCACTGGCCAGACGCTCATCCTCCAACAGTCCTTCAAAAAGAACGGGAGACGAAAGGGGGGAAGAAGGAGAGATGTGGATGTGAGGAGAGGAAGTAGACGATGAGACAAAAGAAGGAGAGGAGAAAATGAGAAGCAAGAAAAGGTAAAGAGGAATGGAGACAGGAGAGGAGAGAAGAAATAACAGGAAGAGGGAATGAATAGGATGGGCAGGAGAGTAGATCAAAGAAAGGGAAAGGAGATGATAGACAAGGTGGAATGAGGGGGGAGAAGAGGAGGAGAGAGGAGTAGATGACAACATGATATCATCAGTTAAAGCATGGCAACGTACGATGTGTTAAAGACGCTACAGCTATCACTAAATCAGGTCAGGCCTTGTCTTTTCTTTTCTTACTTTTGTTTACTACCTCGTTCTCTTGAGTTTCTCGCCCTGTGTTTCAAGGGAGCGACTACTTCCTAGTACTCCCGACAACTACCTCTACCTTAATCACTCTCACTTGTCTTTCATTTCCTCAACGATTAATCACATATACTGTTCATAAGACTCCTGTCGCTCCTGTTGCTTTTTCTAATTGAAGTTTGCCCAACAGTGAGTTGCCCGTAAACAAATACTTTATAAATGATTCATTGTTACTTATTTATTAACCCATGTGACATGAATACTTTAAGTAAATACTTAAGTAAGTACTTTCAAGTACACACAGCAGGTTCACTGGCATTTTTCAGTTTTCATTTAAATGTGTTTATTTATTCAGCGCTATAATTTTAGAATGCAGCAGAATTAAACTAAATAACTGCTGGTTCTGTTTTGTTTTTTTTTTAATGGAATGCTAGCCGTTCTTTAGAAAGGAGGTTTTCACAGTTCATAGTTCATAGGTGTTCCACAGGGCAGCTGTCTCGCCCCCAATTCATTTACATATATATACATATGTATATATATTTATATATACATATATATGTACATATACTGTATATATATATACTGTATATATACTGTATATATATATATACATATATATATACATATACATATATATATATATATATATCCTAATGATTTGCTTTCTGGGCGTTACCTGGCAGAAAAATAACCTATCCAAATGATTTTGTAGACAACTTAACTTCTGCCTAGTTATAATAACAACTATAAATTATAAAAAGTTCTATCTCAAAACAAAATAATTCATCAGACGTTAGAGAAGTCCCTATTGGGGAATACTCCTCTAGTTATTCCACTAGTTCAAAGTAAAGTTTAAATAGTTTTGCAATTCACCATAATAATTCATAATAACGGTTCTGATAAAGAAAGTTCTCAGTCGGCAACACAGGGAGCTTTAAATCAAGTGGCAAAATCCCTTGTTCAGTGTCAGCGCTGATACTGAACGGCAAGTGAAGCCACACTGCAAGTAAAGTCATTAGGAAAGAATTCCGTTTGCACAGTTAAAAGCCGATAGATCAGTGTTTTAATGATGATTTAAAAGTAATGTCACTTAAATGCACCACACTCTGGCAGTCATGACTGTTGAGGCAGAGTTCAAATCTGGTCTCAGCACATTTGAGCCTATTACTGTAGTAAAAAGAAATCCACACTTCTTAGCCAGCCGTAGAACCTGCAGGGTCTAAAACACAATCACCAGACCAGACAGGTCAGCATGGACCACCAGGGGGTTTTAAAGCCAAAATCCAACCACGTTAAGAACTCAGCCTTTCATTGAACCTTTTAGCCAGTCGAATTTGTTAGCTACACATTACGAGGAAAATATAATAAAGACACAATAGAAGGAACAGAGGCGTGAGCCCTCATTTTACAGATGTGCGTTTGTATGGTGTGACACCTCATTTCATCACATCAATTGGCCATGACCCAAAAAGTTCTAAGAAATGTGTCGAACTGTGTCACCTTTTATCTGATTTTCTGCTTTTCAAACCTCAAAAATAACTTTTTTGACCTCTGTTTAATGTGGGAACCTGTAAAAAAAAAAGTTTTTTTTTTCTTAAAGGGAGGTTGTCTCCTTGAACCAGAGATCCCTCAGAATCCTTCGAATTTTTTTTTTTACTTAATCAGAGGACGGATTTACACATATCCTTCTTTTTAAAGTTATTTTACAACTTTTTTTTAACACTCTAATATGATGTTTTGACATTGAAAAAAAAACCCACATTGTTTAGCTTGTGCTTGAACATGGTTGTGTTTTTACACAGGCGGAGTAAAAATCATGTTTAAAGATTTCTCCATGGCGGGGTATCTTTACCTACACTACACCTTATATTGGGCTTGTACTGTGTAATTTAGATCCCTACCAGCTCCCAGCAGCTGGCAGCTGCCTGAACAGCTGACAGTTCCCTGTGGGAGTTCACCAACAGTGATTTCTGATTGTGGTCTAGGACACACAGTCTGGAAGCTTCCCTCAGTGTGCTCACAGTCGTCTGAGGAATGCCTCTGCTACTGCCAGACAAACAACTGAGCTCATGTCTCTTAGAAGGACAGGTTACATACACACACACACCCACACACATACGCTCACATACAGGCTGAGCTCACCGTAGCTCCATACCTCAGGCCTTACTCACCGCTCGTGTCCCTGAACATCACACTCATAATTTCTGAGGTATGATGTGATGTGCTCCATTTAATGGCTGCGAGGAAGAGACTCCGTCAGTGACCGCATATAAACATTTATGAATCCGTCCACTTCAGCGGGATTGTGATGAACCGGACAGACTTTACAAGCTCAGGATGAGATCATTTTTATTTTAATAATGAAATTAAAAGCTCAAAAATTTAAGGCTCAATTTAGGGTCTGCTGAGTCTTTTATGTCACCGGGAGTCTTGGTCTTGTTCTCCTAGTGGTTTTTACAGTGCAGCCGCTGTGCTAAGTGAATTGTGATATTGCTCTCTGAGAAGCTTTGTGTTTGAATTTACATGAGGGAAATGTTGAAATGATAAACAGGATAATGAGTGCTGTCAGATTACAAGTGCCACAAGACGTGAGATAAAAATCAGACTATTTTCTTTGGTGGATGACACAGTCTGATCCATCTTAAGAGGATTTCTGACTTCAGATGTTTGTTATAAATAGATGAAAGTCTGACTAAACCCCCAGTGGTCTCACCTTGCAGCTCATTGAAGCTCTCCTGGTGTTTGTTGGAAGTCTCTCTGGCACCATCCAGCTCCAGCAGCAGCTGCAGCACCTGTGACCTCAGCTCCTCTAACTCCTGCTCCCCTGTCAGCTCCTCCTCCTCCTCCTCCTCCTCCTCCTCCTCCTTTCCGCTCTTGTCTTCTCCTTCAACTTCTTCCTCTTTCTGCTTCCTTTCTTCACCTTCCTCCTCCTCCTCGTCCTCCTCCTCCTGTGCAGTCTCCTGGTCCATCACTTCCTTCTCGTTGTTCTCCTCCAGAACACCTCTCTCCTTGGCTGTTATTTCATTCTCCATGTTGGGGCTGATCTCAGTTTTCAGATCACAGGGATCGTCTGCAGTAAAAGGAAACATTGGGAGAAAAAGTGGAGAGAGAGAGAGAGAGAGACAGATAGAGAGAAATGAGGATTTAAAGGTTTGAAACCTGTCACCTGAATTCAACTGTACTCTAATCCTGAGCTCCATTTTTCCTCTGAATCAACAGTGCCACCTGGAGTTCACTGCACATCAGCCTTTGCAGGCTTTCATTCATGGAGGCATTTTCTTCCGTTGAGGCAGCTGTGACCATGACCAGAGGACACAGGCGAGGAGGCGGGCTCTCCGAGAGGTCACCGCAGACACGAGGACGACATACAACAGGTACAGCTGGTTCTTTTTACTCTGAGTTGCCCTGATGTTCAGCCCATCAACCATGTAACAGTGGGCAGGTCTGGGTGGGCCGAGTTCCAAGTGTTCACAGGGCTGCTTACACACTTCCTGAACCGAGACAGACTGAAATTTCACGCTGGAGACAGAAGCCGTTCAGGAAAGACAGTCTGTGTCCCAGTCATCTTCCCGCAGATCCACATGATAGCTTTATTAGTGCCTGTCTGTTAATGCTGGGAAGGGCACTGGTCTAGTGTCCGTCTGTCTGTCCATTCAGCGTCTGTTGTTTTTCGTTGTGTATTCTGTTTGTACTGCATGATGTCAGGTACAGTAATTGTAGTTCTGGTGGAAGGACCTCTAACTGTTTCATTGTAATCTTTACACGTACAACTGTACTCTACCGTGCAATTACTTTTGTCTTTTTCAAGTAGTTTA